GGCACAGAAACAGGGAGAATGTTTGAGAGGTTGAGTGAATCTTGTGTATTTGTGCATGATGCCATATGTTTGTTTATGTATGCACTAGTTTTCCTTAGTGTGTTTTGCTAAAGATAGGAGGCAATCTCACTAAAATGGCTGGTTGCCTGCACAGGTGCGTGGCCGCGTTCACCTGCCAGCTACTTGTGGAGGTGGTGTCCTCGCTCATGACACATGGTGCTGATTCAGTCAGATGAGCCCGCCTGCTCTGCCTGCCTTGTTGTCGGTTTTTGCGTCCTCTGTCCCCGTTCCCACCCGGCGAAAAGCAGCTTCAGCTCAACACGGAAATGAGTGTTGTACAGAAACATAAGCTTTTCCCTGAAATGCAACTCAGAGTAGTGCAAGTCTTTGTCATGGCGCTACTGTAGGTTCTGTTGCAGTGTCACAAGAGCCGCAGTCTGTAAAAGTAACCAAATGTTAACCGAGCCATTGCAAACAGGATTTTCGTATTCTAAAAATGGATGGACACATTTTGTGTCATGTTAAATCACAGCTATATCAGGGATCACAAACACAAACCTATTCTCCACCATCCATGGAAACGAGGTAATTACTTTGTGAATAAACCCCACATGTTAGATAGATACCATCTCCACTAAAACCTTTAACCACATTTACATTTAATTAAGGATGGAAATGGAAATGTAGCAGCTGAGACCATGATTTAGCCTCTTTAATCCACCAAAATGTTCTAGCTTAGGGCCTCGACAATGATCACTCCCATCAGTCACAGGGATTACAGCAGGACAGACAGTGATGCACAGCAGAGACATCTTGCTGATTTGACTGAGCTGGAAGCTGAGGTGCTGGCCACACTAGCTAGAAGTGGAACAAAGGCTGGGAAGCTGTTCATGGGATTTGATGCCCTTCAGGGGAAGACCGCTGTTGGGAAGATGGCACTGCAGTGACTTGCAGCTCAGGGCTGAGAAATAGGGGTCAAAGGCATCGGGCAAGGGACTAGCCCTGGCACGGGTGTGAAACTAGAGGAACTGTGATGAGGACCTGAGAGGCGAGGCCAGGGCTGGGGCTAAGGGACAGGGACTTGGACTGACAGGCAAGGCCAGGCCTTCAATTCCAAGGCCCGGTCCCCTGTGCTCCAGGCTTCAGCCAAACAGCTAGGCAGGTGTCCAGCTGATCTCATGCGCCCACAAGGGATGAACTGCAGAGCACCAGTCACTGGAGCTCAACAAATTGAAGTGTCATCTCCAGAGTCAAGATGCTCACCAATTTTCTGCATGCGTTGGTGCAGAGTTGGGATTCAGCCAGTGGACAAATGGCTTCAGTTCCGCCTACAGTTTGGTTGAGCAAAGGAGACTTTGGCGTGTGTGTCTGTGTGTGTGAATGAGAACGACTGTACGTATGTATAGAGCAATGCAGGTCCTCAGAGTCTCTGTGCTTAAAGGATGCTCTCTGTATGGAAAATATACATTTAAAAATTACATATAAGTGATTGGACCAGATAAATCTGAATAGAGTGGAGAAAGTTATATGACTCCTTCATATACATTCAAATGCAAAGTGTGTCAGTATTTACGTTCAGCCAGACTCTCAGAAACAAGTGATACTGAGGAATACATCAGAGCTTCATCATCTGAAAATAAGAACACTGGGTCGTCCTATAATTGTCTGTGAAATCTTGAGCTCTTGAGATAACCCACAGCAATTGGCCCCATCCTATCATCTCCTGACCTCTGACCTTACACAAGTATGTGCTGATTACCCAGGGGCTGCGAGGAAGTGTGTGGGAAAGCTGCATCGATCTCACTGGAAGACTGAAACATCACAAAAAAGAAGCGAGAGGGAAAAAAAAGTCAAGCCAAAGTTAAATGAAAAATTGCTTACGTACACGTCTCGCGCGGTCTGGAACATTTATTATTCTGAGTCACACAGAGAGAAAAGAGGTGGAGGAGGATAGAAGAAGAGAAGAATCCATTTGGTAAAGTAGATGCAGATCAATGAGACTGGAGGCAGGCAGGCCAGAGTGCAACAGAGGAAGGGTGTGTGTGTGGGTTGGTGAGTATCTGTGATGTGTCTGTGTGTGTGCTTGCGTGCATGAGGCGTCCCAGATTACTTTCCCTGATTGATCCGGCCCAGCATCCGTCTGACCTGCAGGACATTTCAGAGCTCGGAAGAGGATGGTGGAGGTGGAGAGATGGAGAGAGAGATCTCCAGGAAGAAAAGGAGAGGAGAGAAAAATAAAAATCAATAGCGCAGAGAGCATTACACGGAACTCGACTGGCCGAGAAACTGAGATAGTAAAGTCGTATTAATCTCTTTGTGTCTAAGTCAGTTTGGTAAGAACTCCAATTCCGTTTCAGTTTGTCAGACTGAGAGAGAATTGAAGTTTGCTTTGTGGTGGCAAGAGGCGGGCACGTAATTAGCAGTGCGTCTGTAGCTGACAGCAAATCCAGAATTTGACCTGATCCATTCGTTTCTCATTTTAAAAACTGGTCAGAATTTTAAAGAATAAAACAAGTTGGAAAAGGCATAAGGAAATGGCAAATTATATAAAGCAAGATGATGAGGCAAAGTCAGATGGTTGCATGCTGGCTCCATTTTGTAGCTGCCAGGCAGTGTGTCTATCAGTGGAGAGATCCTGCAGCATACTGTCTGCTCCACAGTCTCTACAGCCTCCATCTATCCTGGCCAAGTCAGGGTAAATTGATTGTCTAAGCTCTGTAAGAGAAGGGGGGGGGCTGCACCAGGCCAGAAAAATAAAGTGGTAGCTTTATTGGCTAAAAGCGGAACAGGAGGGATAAACATGAAACGGAAGTTAAAACGACTTTGTCATCTAAATTCTGGTAAAACTGTACCACTGGTGTCTTAGGCACGTGGAGAAAAGAAATGTGAGCTTGTCTTGTGCATAATATGGAGGAAAAGGTAGACTAAAAGGGATGGCAGCTGCGTGTGGGCCTAGTGTATTTCCCAGTGTTAGAGGAAAGCAAATGTATACACGTCTTCCCTGCTAGAGGTGGAAAAGGCTCGTCCTATTCAAATGCAGTGCCCAGATACCACTGGTTGGGAGCCCAAGGAGACAGGAAGCACTTTTGTGGCATAAAATATTAATGGCGTTATAGAGTGTATTGATTATATAATAACCTTTCCCAGCATCTGAGCACAGACTGAAATGTATTCCCTGAATAATTGAAAATGTATCCATGAGCAGTTTTTCATCTCAATGGTTGGTGAATGTAATTGCATTGCGCTGTTATTCCAGTGTTATTTGAGATTTTATCAGAAGACGCACACGTGTGTTCATGTGATAAACGCAAGGACAGTGAGACTACGAAGAAAGATGAAAGTGTGTGTGTGTGAGTGAGAGAGACTTTCTTTGTTTTACCGAATGGTTGAGCACTGAGCAGTGTCTCCGAAATGAGATGCACTTCTAAGAAAATGTAATATTCCTTTTGCCAGCATTATGCACCCTTCCACTATGCGTTAGCTGTTTAAATTGACTCATGTACATCTGCTTGCTGCTTCTTACATTTTTATCACCACATTTGTACATGCTATGATAATGCTGCATTGTCTGCTTGCTGCGGCACACGGCAATGTAAATAAAAAGCTTTGCAGAATGGGTGAAAAAGATTTGGATGTTTCACCTCTGCCTAACGTTTCCTTTTTTCAGGGTAGCCACTTAACTTTACATTTATTGGGACATTTGTTTTAAATTGACTGTAGAGTATGTTGCCCTCTGCCCTCCTAATGAGATGAATGCTGGTCCACGACACTGTATGTGGTGGTTTTAAGTTGTGACTAATGTGGGGAGTTGCTATCCCTCCAACTGCCCACTCTTGACTCTCTTAAATGATTTTAAATACACGCTTACTGGCTTTGGTACACCTGCATGACACTGACATTAGCATAACTAAAAGCCTGAAACACAAAAAAAAATGTTTGTCATTAATTTGTACCAGTCAGATTTGCAGACTATTCAATAGCAACCCTTTGGTCCTCGCCATATTAAAACAAAAGGTGGCTCAACTGATTTTCCCCCCATACGATCCCAAAAAATCTGCATTTTTTGCTTCTGTCAGTCGGCAAGGAGAAGCTATATTTCTTGTCCTCCTTTCCACCCTGACCTCTCTGCCCCTCTGTATCTTCTTTTTCTCTTTTGAAGCTGACAGTTCACTCTCATTTAGACCTCCATTATGCATTCCTGCCTAAGTTTACAAGACACATTGACAACAGAACATGTACAGACTCTCTTCCTCCTCCCCCACCACTGTCTCTCCTTTTCTTTGAAGTATTGGAAATGTCTTCCCCATTACTCAGCCCTTGCCTTTTCTACCTCCTCCCATCTGATCCCTCACTCCCGCTCTTCATCCCTCTGAAGGAGTAAATGAAGGCAGAGGTCATACCTCCTCTCTTCCTCTTCTCCTGCTAAATTGGCTGTTGTAGCATCTGTAGATAGCTGCAGGCATTTAAGCCCCCTGCTCTGGAGAGCCAGCGAACAGACTTCCTGCTCATTTGTGGCATTTTCTGTCTCTTCAACCACAGGCTTGTTTACCCACAGAGAGCAAGAGGGAAACCCTCATTATAAACCCTGCCAAGGTCATTGCAGTCCCCACACCAATCTGCCAACATCAACACACATTCGGTTTTATTCTGCCGGCTCCGAAGGTGCTCGCGTCAGTTTTAATAAATGAAAGAAATAATAGATTCGGCCACATTTCTGTCTCACCAAATCCAGTGTTAGCATTTGAATTCGTTTACTTTACGACAAACGAGAAAATAAACGGAGAGACAAATCCGAAAACCCCTGAGCCACCTGTCTTTGTTTTATTACGGCTGATGGGGACTGCAAAGGTGCAACTGTGTTTTTCTAGTGAGCTGCCATTTTCTCAACATCCTCAACCCCTCCACTCCCCAAGTCCCACTACAACCCTAACCTTGTAAAGTGAGTGTATGATGTTGACGGTGGGCTGTGCATCCCTCCCTCCCTGTGCTCCGCTCCATAGGGGTCGACAGAGACACAGTGGCGTCAGGCAGAGCTCCCACAGCTCCAGGGCTGGGCAGAGAAGGGATTGCTGACACAGCCAAAGATGGTAAGGAGACTACTGCTGCCAAATGGATGGCCCAGCCATTTTACACACCCATGAAGTAATATGATCTGATGTTGCACTGTGTTCACATTAATGCACACTGGTCGGTGATGCTGCTGACTGAGACAGTTGGAACTTGAGCAGAGATTGATGGACGGGGTTGCGAGGGTAGAGGGGGCTATGCACAGAAGAGTGAAAAGCTGACACGTTCATCGTGTGCATATAATTTAGGAAGCCGTTAACGAGTGTTGCACTTTGATGTCTCATATTTTCTCTGTTTATATGGAACCATTTACGTTTTAGTACTTAAAAACAGTTATTTACCATTCCATTAACATGCAAAGCTGCAAATGTGGGCAATTCTAAAAGACATCTGCTTTCCGAAAGTCTTACTCAATTTGCTCCTTCTTATATCCGGCTTTTAATTTGATTTTCTCTCTTGCGTCGAGGATTCGAGCAGCCGTTAAAAGTAAAAGCGATACGTCCCTCAGCCTGCGCTTTGCTTTAACTAAACGATGACTATAAGTCACTGGTGTAGTCCAGCCAATCTATTCGATACAGCGAATGGGTATTGATATTTTTCATCCTAATGGCAACAGCTTATATCAGATCTTTTCTAACGCGCTCTCACATCCGTTTCATATGCTTTCAACAGCTGCACGCAGTTTAGATGCATTACTTTTAGCCAGAAGCGCTGGTGCTGGCTCGGCCTCCTACACAAGGAGCAGGATAACTTGTGAGTAAAAGAAGCCGCATCTCGAGCCTGAGAGCCTATGAGTGCTGGCTATGTGTTGTACCCAGTCAGCAGGACATGCAGCGAGTCTGTTCTCAGCACTAGGCTCCACAGTGGGAGAGCAGGGACAGCCAGAGTGTTCACAACCAACATGAAGTGGACTGCTGAGCAGCACAAATGCTGGTAGGCAGGGACAAGGAGAGGAATATAATTGGCTACTGGTACTCGGCAGGTCCCTGTTAATTAGAGGCAGCCATTTTGGTGTAAAAACCTCCTCAGAAAACGTCCCATGGAGTTGAAAGTCTCTCTGACAGAATGGAGCCCAGCAGGGAATGTAAACAGATTTAATAAGGCTCTCTCCAATCAACTCTGTTATGGCTAGATGCTATTCTCTCCTTCCTCTTCAGTCTCCCTCTCTCCCCCCGTCTTTCTCAGTCTGTCTCTGTATCTGTGTTGTGGTAGAGTGGTGAGTGAGTAGGGAAGGATACTGTCAAAAGAACAATTTGCATGCAGCTCTCATCTTGAGAGCTTTTAGACATCTCCCTGTCTGTTTGTTTTCTGCTGTGGGCTTGAGCCATTGTTCTCTCTTTGTATGTGTGATTGTGTGTGCCTTTGAGTGCGTGCCTCTTCCACTCACTGCAGATGCCACAGACTGCGAATACATGAAAGCGTGTGCTGGCGCGTGTGTGTGTTAAAAATAAGAAGATGGAAGCAGATTTAAGGCTGATGTGTTTTTGGAGCTGCTACTAAACACTAGACAGAGGAAAAGAAGGATACTGAATGATAAAAGGAATATTAAAGGTCAGGGAAGAAATGGATGCTTTAACCCATCCAAGCAGCCGTGTCCTATCCCTTAAGATTTTATTGGTCTAGTTGGTAGGAGGTAGAAATACTCACAGTTTTACAGATTCAAATAAAAACCACAGGCTCATTGTACTCTAGTTGTTCTCTACTTCTCATTAAAATGTACTGTTGACTTTTCTAGGTCATCTGTTTTGAATTCACTTACCAATTCAGCCTCCAAACGAGCCCAATTTTATGCATGCTTAATTATAATATGGTGTTTGTACGGTAACTCAACAGTTAACGGTTTCATCTGCCATTTCATTTATTACCACACGTCGACAGATAAAAGCAGAGCGATTAAAGTACACGCATCGTAAACTATTTCTGGACAAACTGGGAAATTTTTAAATTCTGCTTTGAGATATATTATTAGAACACAGGTCCGGCCTTTTGATAATCCAGAAATAGAGCGAAATACGGCTTGAGTGTCGTCTCTCCTTTGCTAATACTAGCCCTGCTTCCAAGTGCAGGCTGTTTGCGTGTACTTAAGAATAGTTAAAAATAGCCTGGAAGCTGAATAGCTTAGCAGGGGAAAGAAGAGATCTGAGTGATGACTTTAAAAATTTGATTGAATGAGATTAAAGAATATTTGCATCTTAATTTGGGTTTCAGCATGTTAGGTCATTTGCGGTGCTTTTGCCCAATTTTATGATTTCAAGAGTCTTGCAGTAGATTTCGTGACTCTTTTTGCAGCATCAACATCATTATTGTTTCTAAAAGTAAAACGCTGAAGTGCTTACGTGTGAGACAGAGCCAAGGGAAACTCATCAGGATTGTCTCCATCTCAAATTAGTTTTTTTATGCTATTAATTTGATAAATAACTATCTTTATGCAAATGTTTACATAAGCTCCCTGTGCATTTTGTTGGAATATTCACTAGGATAAGCATTTGATAAATATAAATGTGTTCTTAGTGTTAGAGAAGCAAAGTGCAATACCTCCCCCTCTGGCTCTTACTCCTTCTCACCCTTTTCCCCCTGTTTTCTCACACTTACACCAGGCTCACAGTTCCTCTTTGAACACTTTGATCCTGAGATGCTCTGCAAAAGCCAGATTTGAAAATGCAAACTTCTCTCTGTCACAGCAGCAGCATCAGCAGTCAGATCGTTAGCTGAAGGGCTGCCCCTGTTGCTGCCCCCTCCCACAAACCTCAGTAGCTATCAGAGAACGTTTCAGAGAGGCTTTACTGCCTTCGTGAATATTAAGTTGTTTATCCTCTTTGTGTCTGCCGTTTGTTTTATTTCTCAGTGTTTAGATACGGTGAATGTAGTGTGTGCACTGTTTTCACTGCATATTTAGTTTGTGACTCTGTGCAAGGGTTTACTTATGTTGATCATGCATTTTAATTACTTGTTGACAGCATTACTGCTCACACACAGGCCTTTTTTCGCTGATCAAGGCTAATGTCACATTTTTTAGGTCTGAAAAGAACATTAATTATATAGGAGAAATTTTTCACCCTTATCTGTAATGTATATATTCATCACCTAACCATCAGTTATAAAGGCAGGAATAAAAGGGAAAAAGTAGTACCTGGACATATGACATGTAAAACCTAAATTTTAATCGTGTTCATATTTTAAGAAGACAAACACATTAGTCACAAAGAAAAATCTAACAAAATTTGTCTTTAAACAGTGCTCACAGGTATTGATCCAACTATGAATCACATCACTTTAAGATAATTTGAGACCATCCGTCCGAAATTTGAAATTGAACTGGAAGTAGACCTTCCAACATGGTAAAAATATGAAATAGAGAATCAAATGCAGCAAATCGAAAAGAAGAAATTAAGTTACAAAAGAATGAAAGTTATAAAAAAAGAGGATTTAAGAATAAAACTCAGATTTGAATCTTTCTGAAATTCTTTGGAGAGATTTCAAACATCTGGAACATGTAGGGAGAAAAACTGATGAAAGTGCCATCACGAATTTTAATGTATACTTTATTGATCTCCGTGGGGAAATTCCTCTCTGCATTTAACCCATTCACTCAGTGAAGCAGTGGGCAGCCATTGGGCACCCGGGGAGCAGTGTGTAGGGACAGTACCTTGCTCAGGGGTACCTCAGGGTAGCCGTTCAGCGGATTTAAACCCCCGACCCTCCAGTCACGGGGCCACCATCTACCTACTGAGCTAGTCTAGTGAATGTCTTATAGGCAATGATATTTTAAAAAAAGTCACTACTATTAATACGATTTTTTAAAGCCAAGGGTGTAATTACTTTTTCCACAGAAGAATATTAACTAACTAATATTTACTGTAAAATATAGTTTTCATTGCAGTTGTTTAATGTTGAAATGTCTCATTGTTTCAAAGAGAATCAAGCTGTGCATCCTGCAGACAGCAAAGGCTGTAGGGTGCACAGCTTGATTCTCTTCTTTTCATTGAGACTTTTAATATAATTTTTCAAAATAACATTTTGGAAAATCATCAGAGTCTTGTAAGGCTTACTACACATACAGTGTTGCAGCTACTTAATAAGAAAATGTTGTTAATGATGGCCACATCTCTTTGTCTCTTCCTACCCTTTCTCTGTGTGGTTCCTTTCCTGGTGTGTCCCTTTTTCCGCCCTTCTCCAGATCATCAGTAACATGGAGGCTCCAGTGACAAATGGCCCCAGTGGAGGAGGAACCACAGCCAATGGGCCAACCAACAACAGCCGTGGCTGCCCCTCACCAATGCAGACCGGCCCAACAAACGACGACAGCAAGACAAACCTCATTGTCAACTACCTGCCCCAGAACATGACCCAGGAAGAGTTCCGCAGCCTCTTCGGTAGCATCGGCGAGATCGAGTCCTGCAAGCTGGTTCGCGATAAGATCACAGGTACAAAACTGAGACTTCTTTGTGGTGCACTGGGATACTGATGCTGTACTTCGCAAATATTAACTTTTTAGAAACTAGGAAAAGATCCCGCTAATTTGGACTATAATTTGAGGTGTGCCTAGTGAGTCTTAAAAGTGGGTTTCACCAAAATAAAAATACATATGTGATATAGTCGAAGTAAAAATCAGGACATTTTGCAGTTCAATGAGTGTGTTTATATGGACGTAAGTATCCTGGTTATTTAAATAGTCCTTTTTTTTGTCAGTGCATGTGAATATGATTATCTTTGCATCTTCATACTGCTGACTACCCATGCCTGTGATGCTTCAGCCGAGTGATCCCAAGTAAATACAAACACAATCAATGGCCACACCGAAAGTATCTGAAATTCTGCACTTTTCAAGTTTGACGTAGTCAGGCTACAGGATGCAGGTTTTCCAATTTCTATAGTGGAGCAAGTCAGGTTAATAATCACAGTGAAGTTATTGTAAAGTGTGATCACAGGTATCAAAACTAAAGTTCGTTGCATGTAAATGTCACTAACATGTAAACGACAGCCTGTATTAACAACTGGGATAGTATGTTTATTTTGCACATATGCAGGTATATACCTGCATAACCAAGTAAATGTCAGTTTCTGAATATGCATTTTAAAAACTAGGATAAGCGTCATAATGGGCATATTCATGTCCATGTAAACACACTCGATGTTTGTCCAAAGAAAAGGGGAAATACAAGGTGAATCACTACAATCTGACTGAGCTGAAGAGGCTTTGCTTTCTCTTCTGAAAATTTAAACTGGACGCGTCAGTGAGAAAGAAGTCCGGCCTCTGCACACATCTGTCAATTCTCACTTTCTATCAAGTTTTCATATATGCTCCTTTAATCTTTCCTCATATTTGCTGTTGTCAAGAAAGTGTGACAACAATAGTAGCTGTTAAGAAAGACAAACATTACAAAGCTTACATCACTGCTCGCACGCTGCGAGATCAAAGGTAGGTGAAGACGCAACAGTCAGTTGTGTGTTGAATGTATACACCTGTAAGAAATCAAATATGACACGAACACTTCAGAGTTGCACACAAGCCTTCGGTCCGGCGTCACTCGAAATAACTCGAGCACTTGAGAGAATGCGTTGTGTATAAGGAGAAATCCATCTTTGCCCTCCGTGCGCACACATGTGTGTGTGTGTTCAAGCGCAGCGAATCAGCAATGCAGCAAAGTGCCACATGTTCTCCAGAGGTGTTTAAATTAAGCAGCACTTTGCGGTGCTAATCACGGCTGTAATCTGGGTGTAGTGGCTGTGTGGGTGGCCGTACAGCAGATGGATCGGGGGGGGCCGGGGTGGTGGAGCTCTGTGATAATGCTCCATAATGGCTTTCATTTTAGATCCTACTTACTGACACTCTTCTCCTGATAATCTCATTAAAGAGCACTAGGCAGGCAGTCGAGATCACCAAGCCATTCTCGGATAGCAAGCCGGCAGCTAAAGGGAAGAGAGTAAACACACACATACACGGATACATATGCAAATATAATCATAGAATTAGACTCCCCATAACAGATTAAGTACAACTGAAAGGCCAGTCGAAATGACAGCTTTGACAGTGAACCGACGACGGCCGCTGACCCGACCGCTGCCGCTTCCTTGCCCGTCCTTTGAAGTACGATTCCTCTTTAGGACCATCTTCCTCTTCTGCCGTAATGGCCACAAAATGGAGCCTGAGAGTCAGATACTCCAGGATAATGGAGGATGGTGTGTACAAAAATAACGCCGGAATACCACAAGCTGTCATCATCACTATCGCCATATTCTCTCTCCACCTGATTTTTCCCTTAAGTGTGATTTTCCGAGCAGCAGCGAGGAACCGAGCTAACAACAGATATTTGCAGGGAGTTTAAAAACGAACCAAATTGCCGTAAACCTACTCGGGCCCTAAATGCAGGACTGTGAGAGAGGTAGAAATGTTTGTTTGCTCACTTCTAAACCATTTGCTCTGCTTCTCTTCTCTGCAGTACAATATCTGTCTGATGACTTAGCATCAACGCAAAAAAAAGCTATAAATAAATCCTGCCCTCCCCTCCATATCCCCCCCACGGTGGATGCCTGTTTTGCTCTCCCATGGGTGCAATTTTCTTGTGCAAACTTTTAGGCTAACAAAGTACAGATCCCTTCCAGCAGGGAATGCCAAGAGGCTTCATGCTCTCTCACAGTCATCCAAATCATTAACAGACTACGCCAAGTTTTCAAGAGGGAGGGTGGGAGAGTTAAGAGACCACTTTTTTAGGTTTACATACACCTGTACCCTGCACCCCTCCTTTCTCAGCTGTCATAAATATCTCCATATACTTTTAAGGAAAAAAAAAAGATAAACTTCTGACTGAAACGTGAGAGCGGTCTATCTTGATGAGAGTTTGGCTCTTACGAGGCATCGCTGCCTTCATATTCTAATATTCAGTATGTGGAACACGAGTCTAGAACAAAGTGTAAGAATTTAAATAAATTCACAGAACTATTCAGAAATGCACTTGGATAACAGTTTAAAAATTTAATCCTTACAAGATTGAAATATTCCTCCAGTGTATTTGGTGTTCATAACACAAGAAGGAGTGGTTAGATTCCCTGGTACATTTGTATCAGCTATTTCAAATTCACTTTAAGCAAACATTTCTCAGAAAAAGGCAGATTGCTATAGTCCTGGTAGAAAAGGAAGAAAATGTTAAACAGTCAGAAGCTCTTAAAGGGTAGGCTCAGTGGTCAAGTAGAGAGTAAACAAAATAAAAAGACTTCCTGATTATTATTATTATTAATGAAAACCGCCAGTATTGTTGTTGCCAGTCCAAAGAAATTAAATGTAAAAAAAATCCTTGTATTAATTAATAGATAAACCAGTCTCCATCTGGCTATAAGGTATTAAGACCTTATACCATAATTCATGGATAAGTGTGTCTTGATCAGGCTATAATGCTTATAGGCTGATGAGGACTGACTTATCCATGAATTAATAAAGAATTTTTAAAATCACAGCGCTTTAGATTTTTTCTCGAGTCTCATCCGATACTAAGGATTTCCACAAGTCTTTCTTTGGTTTCCTTTTTACTTGATTAATCAGCATTTGTGTCATCTGCTTCCCACCACCAGTGTTTGCATTTCAGCTAACCTGTGAGTGCTCGCTGACAAGGTGTGAGCACTCGGACCTCTCAGAGGTATGAGACAGACAGGTCCTCGGCGTCACCTCAGCTTCCTGTGGACTCGCTCCTGTCAGCTCCAATGACGGCAGGACGGTGTGAGGCTCAGGCAGGCGTAGACACTTCAGCTCCGTCTGTCACCCCGGCTGACTTCAGCTGGTAGAAAAGCCACCTCTGGGTGTCTTTGTTGCTCCCCGCACGCCTACCTGCTTGCCTGCTTGCACAACTACCTGGTGCTCTCGTAACACACAGGGGATATGCAGGTTAATCTTTTATTTAAGTCTAGCTTACACGCACATAGCTCCAGTGCTCTTAAAGATATAACGTGTTGTTCTTGTTACAGTTAATTCTGTGCAGTAGAAACGTATAGAAATGCTTACATCAAATCCACAATGGCTTTCAGACTCTGCACTATAAATGTTTCCACTGTGTGTTTCTTCTTTTTATTGAAAATCTATTCACCGTCTGAAAGCTCTGCCTCTTAGACATAAGAAAAAATGATACACGGTCCTTTATGGATAGCTTGAAAAGACCCATGCGGACCTTGCACTGCACTGAATCAGCACTCTCGAATATCTACACACGGCCATATGCACACAGAAAGAAATGGAATTGACTGATCCTTGTCAGTAAGGCATTGTTCTGGATCATTTTTCTGCATCAGCTGCATTTCTGGCGGAGAACTGAATGCATTTGTTTTCATAATGACATGGAGAAGAAGAAAATAGCTTTTCATGCTGGAACAAGAATTGATTGCATTAGGGAGGGGAGTAGGGTTTGCAGTGGGGTTATACTTTTATAGGCAGCCATTTTTTTGCATCCTCATTTCGTGCCAATTATTACACTAGCCAAGAGCTCGGAAGTCTTATTTTGTGGGGACAGATTAAATATTTTACTTTTACTTTAAATAGTCGTTGGCCCCGTTCTGGCTGCCTGTGGTGCCGTTTTTATTTTCCCATGCGGCCACAGAATTTTTCAGGTTTTCGCAGTAAACCTCTCACCTTTAATATGCTTCTTTGTGTTTGTGCAGATGAAATACATCGCATCCTGTAAAGACATCCCTAAAGCACACTGACTGAAGCCTTTTGTGCACACTACTCTAGTCACCTTCCATGTGTTGGTTTTATACATGGAATTGGGGGAGCTGATGCAAATCGTAGTGACAATGTAGCAAGCCAAGCAGATGTTGGCCATGAAAAATAGATGGACTGTGATGTCAGATGTGGAGTAGTTCAAGCTGGAGCACCTCTGACAGACAGCAGCTCGAGAACTATGCACTGAAATCTATTCTTACATAAGGATGCATACATTTTATGAACTGTAGTTGCTAAAAAGCCCAACAAAACCCACTTAAGGTTAGTTGGATTTGGCTTGCTTTGTATGCAGAAGCCGGGGAGCACATTTCCATTAGTTACATACATTTTAACCACGATCTGCAAGGACGTAATGGTTGCACTTGCATAAGGGGGCAAATTAGATATTCAGTTTATAAACATCAGGTTATATATTTAAATAGATACATTTATGACATACTGGGAGGCAAAGCTAATCGTTTTCATATTTAAGCTATTTTTCTACATTATTACAAGAGTGATAGAATAAAACACCTGCTATTTCTTTGTTTAACGTTTATACCTTCCAGAAAACTTAAATCACACAAGCGCAGGTTTTTCCGTGTGGTGAAAAACCATTACGCACTTTTTCAAATGCTTACTGAAACCATGTTGTGGGAGATCTGGTGTGGTGTTTATATCCCACATGCAGGTTTCATTTATCTGAACCTGAACCGGGCTGAAGGCTGAAGATAGCGT